CGGTACCGGGAACCGAACTCACGACCTTGCGCTTGCCAGGCAGGCGCTTTTGCCGCTGAGCTAAATCCCCAGCCCCTGTAAGGCATTGTTCTAATGGAGAATTTTCATTTGGTTTTACCCACATATTTTACTTTTTCTATTGTTGTTCATTCTTTCCATCTGAAATTCTTTAGTATGAGTCTGCTAGGGACAAATTCCCCAATTTTGCCTGAAAAAGTATGTATTACCTCTTTAATTTTAAATGATGTTTTCATAGACATTGAAAATATTAATGATATACATTTTTCTTTCTGTCATCAGACTTGCAGGTGTGTTATCTATTTTTATTGCTATTTTCAAATAACCAAATTTGGTCTTATTTAAATCTTTTAATGTTTTCCTTTTCATTAATTTCAACCTTTATTATAAGTTCCCATCTCATCCTTTCTCTTGGTTCACTTTGTTCTTGTGCCAGTGATTATCATTCATTCTTATTTATTAATAAAACTACTTATGACTGTCCATTTCTCTTGAGTATAGCAGTTTTATCATATAAATTTTAAAATGCAGCACATACTTTTAAAATTGACTTTCCGTTATTTTCTTTTGTTCTAAACAGGTAGGATGAATGGTCTTCTGTTTAATATGCTATTATTAGGATGCATTGGATCATAATCAGAAAATGCAACATAGAAAAATCTCTTTTGAAATTTGCTACAGTTTGCTGTATTTGCTATAAGCCATGGCTTGGTATGTGTTTGATTTTTGTAAATCTCCAACGGTCACATGAAAAGGGTGTGTACTTTTTGTGTGTACTGGGCAATAAACTCAGGGCACTCCAGCACTGAGTTACATCCCAGCCTTTCTAAGTTTTTATTTTGAGACAGGGTCTTGCTAAGTTGCCCAGGAAGGAATTAGGGGTATGATCCTGTTTCCTCCTTCTCCCAGTGTCACTGTGCCTAGTTTATCCATATAGAATGGGGTACAAAGTTGCAAGTACAACATTTTAAGCCAGCTGATTATATTACTAATATTTATCCTTGTTTTAAATATATCTTACATATTAAAATCTGCAAGAGATGTATTAAACCCTATTATAATTGTTTGCATGATTCTATCCAAGTTCTTGTATAGCTAGGTGATTCTGATTTTTTGCACTTACTATTTGGTGCATAGACATTTATTAAAATTATTATTTTTTTTTCAAGGCCGGGCATGGTGGCACATGCCTGTAATCCCAGCACTTGGGAGGTTGAGGCAGGAGGATCACTGCAAGTTCGAAGACAGCCTGAACTACAAAGTGAGCTCAAGGCCAGCCTGAACTGCATAGTGAGACCCTGTCTCAAAAAGACCAAAAAAGAGAAAAAAAAACAACCAACCAAAAAAAATTTAAAGCTTTTATGACTGACTTATTCCACACAGTATTATGCTCCCATGATCCATCCATTTTCCTACAAATGACTCAAATTTATCCTTCATCACTTAGCAGTACTCTATTGTGTATATGTCCCGCATTTGTTTTATCCATTCATCTGTGGGCGGGCATATAGGCTGCTTCTATGACTCAGCTATTGTGAGTTGTGCTGCTAGAAAGAGGTACGTATGCATCACTGTAACGTGATGACTGTAGTCCTCCTAGAAATGTGGTAAGTTAGAACTCTAAATAATCTTTAAATACGTTCTTTGTAGAACAGCTACTATAGTTGCCTAGGGAGATGATATATTTACATCGTAATAATGCTAGTGTTGTTTTTACGAAATTATTTTCAGCACCAACTTTTGAAACACGTAAGAATATTGGTTTTATTTATAATGAAATAGCTTTTGATTACAAATGGCATAGTTCTGCTCAATAATTTTCATTATGGCTCTGATCACCGAGTCATTTACAGAAATCAAATCTTAAAGAATAAAGATTAGCTACAATGAGGGTATATAAAAAGTGTGATTAGGGTACTAAAATAAATCTCAAGATACAATTTAGAGTAATGCTAATGTTTACAAAGGTGACTACTTGGAAAGTAATACTTAGATTATCAGGTAGAGAGAGAAAAAGTATCTCATCACTTTATTATCTCTCTTCCATTCAAAATTGGGAATATTATTGCATTTGTGAGCATTACTGCTACAGTACAGGTGAGTAATACTGAAAATTACCCTCTCTCTGTATTAGCATGTTACAGGTTCTGAAATCCTCAATTTGCATAAGAGACAAAGACTGAGAATCTATTTGATATATCTCAATGGAGGGTAATGAGGGGATGTATTTAACCTTGGGGCAGCCAAGGACAACAGTGACAAAATCCAGAATGAAGGGACCCAATCCTAAGGAGATGGCTGTATCTTGGGAGAAAAAGCACAGAAAAATGGAACTGAAAGACTTGGTTTTAAGCCTCAGCTGCCTTATTTGGGGGCAAGTTATAGAATCGCACATGCTTCTAAACTTTCAGAACCCCATTATTAAAATAACGTCCTCATTTAACTTTTTTGCAGGATTATTGGGAGGACAAATAAAAAACATGCCCGGTTGCTTCTGAAGCTGTGAAACCCTATGAAATTTGAGGCATCATGACAGTAACTGCCAAAGTCACCATCTTGTAAGTAGAGGGATGCAGGAAAGAATGTCCAAGGACGCGGTATTAAAGGTAATACAACATAAAGTGCTCAGAAGTAAAATCCTTGCTACACAAAAAGGTGGTTAAAATAATATTGAAAATGAAAACTTTTGTTTTTCATTTAGTAGCTCAGAGATTATTTTCTCTATGAGGTTCTCATTATATCATTCAACCCTCAAGACAACTCCTTAAGGCAGGTATTCTTTCCACCTTAAAAATGAAGAAATTGAAGCTAAGTGAGGTTAAGGGACTTGCTGAAAGCCCCAGAGAGTAATGCAGTAAAAACCAGGTTTCACTCTAGTTACTCTAATTCCAAATCCGTTGTACTTTTTCTGGTCCCAACACACACTTAAATCTTAAAGGATAACTATGCATTGTATTGGATAATAAACTACTTGCTATGTATTTCACAGATATTTCTGAAAGGCCTATCATGCAGGTAGCACTGAATATCATAGGCAGAGGAAACCTTACCAAGGACCTGAAAAGATACAACAGGAGGAAAACCAAGAGAAAGGGCGACTGGAAGCCAAGAGAAAGCAGAACTGAGAAAATGATTAACACTGTTGAATATTATAGAGGAGACAGAAAGTGGCTGAAAAGTACGTGTCAGGATTTGCTGCCTGGGCCAGGGGTGGCTTTGGCAAAAATACTTCAATGCAATAAAAAACAAAAAATGTCAGATTATTCTTGAGTAAGGGATGAATGGGAGATGAAGACATTGGTTATGAAACGGATGATTAAAAAGAAACGACCTGTGGAGAAAGGAAGAAATTAGGGTAAAAGAAGTGATCAAAGGCAAGTTTCATTATTTAAAAAAATTAATCAGAGAAGCAAAGCAGTTTACACTCTCGTAAAATCTGAAACATTAAAACATAAAGTCCCTTTTGATCACTACCCTCAGTCCCCAACCTATTAACAATTTAATGTTTATCCTTCTGTGTATATAGATCCTTGTAGGAAATGGATTTTAATTTTTTTACATAAATGGTGCCATATTCCACACAATTGTCTGCAGCCTGCCCTTTCCATTTGATGGTGCTTAAGAGAATGGTGGTACATATAGATTCACCAAACTATGAAGATTTGGGTGAGTCTCAATTTTACTATTATCAACAATTCCTAGGGGTTGGGGATATAGCTCAGCGGCACAGGACCTGCCTGGCAAGTGCGAGGTCGAGAGTCCAATTCCTGGTACCAAAAAGAAAAATAAATAAATAAATGAAAGATACAGTAGTGTTTCGGGCCAGGGATATAGCTCAGTGGCACAGCGCCTGCCTGGCAAGTGCAAGGTTCTGAGTTTGACTCCTGGTATGAAAAAAAAAAATTCCTCAGCTGAATGTTGTTATGCTTGCCATGTTAAACACAAATGTTTTTCTGGGGACTGGGTGTGTAGGAGCTCAGTGGTAGAACTGGTGCTTAGCATGTGCGAGGCGCTGGGTTCAAGGCCTAACACTCCCATTCCTACTTCTCAAAATAAATGTTTTTTTTCTATGGTAGATACCACAAGTGGCATCACTGGGCCATACGGTTTGTATATTTAAAAATTTTAAACATATTCCCAAATTGTCCTCCCAAGTAGCTTTATCTTTTAAGCACTGTTTCAGTTTCTTGGATTTTATTTTCATTAAAAAATTTCAGCTGAGGTGGATTCCTTAAAAATTATTTAAATGTGAGCCTTTACATATTTATCTACTCAGAATCAGAAGAGAGAAGATACTGGATATAGAAGAGCTAGATTCCTAAGGAAAATGTCAGGTGATGCAGACCAGAGCATGAGTTAAGGGGTCACTCTCACATCTGTTTTCTTTTTACAGATAGACATATGAAATATAAGGAGGGTTGGGATAGGGGATTGAAGAATGTAGACAATTTTTCGAACAGGCTATTTGGGGAAAATAAGAAAGGACAGTCCTTCTCAAAGTATATTCTAGGAACACTAATTCCACATAATGATTAGAGGAAATAAAGTATGCCACAGTCAAAAAATTTGGTGCATATTATCTTCCATTTTTATACTCATGTATCAACACATTAAAGGTTCAGAAAGAGACTTGTGGTAAATAAAACTATTTAACTCAGCTTCACAAACTTTCCTAATTCTAGAACGCTTTCTTTTGCATATATGCATTAATATTCTGTTGAATCAGTCTTCCACGGAATAAACTAAGAGAAACACTAAACTAGTGAAAATGTGGAGAAATGGTCAACAGTGTCCAGCTCAAATAATTTATAAACAAAAAATACAAAGTATAATTTAATAAACACTACGTACCCACTTCTCAGAATTAAGTGGCTAAGATTAAATTCTGACAAATTTTAATGCTTATTTTTCTATTGTATGAGTAATTTATTTTCATAAAACAAAGTTAAGGGGCTGGGGATTTAGCTCAGTGGCACAGCGTCTGCCTGGCAAGCGCAAGGTTGTGAGTTCAATTCCTGGTACTGGAAAACAAAACAAAACAAAACAAAAAATAAAACAAAGTTAGGAAATAGGCGAAAACATTGTCATCTTGTCACCTTAGTAAAATTATTGTTAATGTTTTAGGGTAATTAAGCTTTATTTCTATTTTAGGGGTTTGTGATAGGGTCTCGCTATATAGTTCAGGCTGACCTAGAATTCATTATGTAGCCCAGGCTGGCCTCAAACTCACAGCGATCCTCCTGCCTCATCCTCCCAAGTGCTGGGATTACAGGTGTACACCATCACGTCTAGCTATTTGTATTTTTTTTCTAAATATCATTACAGTAATGTAGCACACAATCTTGGATCATGTTACATATGTACAAGATGTCATAAACACTGTTGTAAGTTTTATGACTATCATTTTAAATAGTTGCATAAAATTCCAAGTAGATAATCTATTTTAGTATTTCTCTAGTGTTTACACCTTAAATTATTTGCAATTTTTCTTTTTTGGCTTTCATAAGTTAATACTGCACTGAGTACTGGAGTATAAAATTTTTTATTTTTTTAGAATATAAAATTTATTTATAGGTTTTGTTAGGATTTACTCGTGAAGTAGAATAGTAATTGTTCTAACGCAATGCCCACTTTAAAGGCTTTATGAAGTATACAGCCAATTGGTTTTCTGGCACTGGGGAAATGCAACATTAGTGATGTATCAGAATGTCTGCTCTGTTTTCCCCAAGGTTAATTCAAATTCAAAAACTTAACATTTATATCCATACTGTTTAATCTTAGTACTATATATTTTTCCAGCTGACAGACAGCTATCAATACTAATCTTTTTTCTTTTTTTTGTTTCGTTTTTTTCCCCCCGGTACCGGGAATTGAATTCACGCCGAGGCGCTTGCCAGGCAGGCACTGTGCCACTGAGCTAAATCCCCAGCCCCTATCAATACTAATCTGTCACTGCTATATTTGTCTCCACCGGTTTTGCAACATAACCAATGGGCTAAGGTTGCTATGGACAGTATCTTCCTAAGCAGCAGAAAATCTTTACGTAAAAGCTAAACAGAGTCCAAAGGAGGGGTTTAAACATTTTCCACATCAGTTTATTAATACTCTTTGGGTATTGTTCAAGGAATCCAAAGCCAGTTTCGTCAACGTTTTGATTAATCGGAGTATTAATGATACCTAATTCTAGTATCTTAGTGTACCTTTCTGTAACCTATTGACAAGAACTTAACACGAAACCTTGTTAAATGTGGTACTGAGGGATGATTTATCTTCTGAACTTTCCTCACAATCCCCCAGTAACACTTGTGGCCTTATTTTAAACATTTTATGTATCAGAGTCTAGCACAGAACTTACTTGGAACAGCACACAGTAGATTCTCAATTATGGACTGGTATGCTTAATCTAAGGTAGTATGGATTGTTGAACTGTTGTCTCACCATAAACACTACTTTCCTTATCCGGAGACATCAGAAGACTTACAAGTTCATTTAACAACAGCCAAACTGGGGCTGGGGGTTTAGCTCAGCGGCAAAAGCGCCTGCCTGGCAAGCGCAAGGTTGTGAGTTCGGTTCCCGGTACCGGAGAAAAACCAAAAAAAAAAGAAAAAACAAACAAACAACGGCCGAGCTGATAATACAAAAAACACAGATTTTTGTCAGCAGGAACCCGGAGTTTAAGTCCTGGCTTTGCAGCTCACAAACTGGTAACTTTGTGTTACACCACGACTTACTTTGTTTAAGTATAAAACGTGAGTGTTCCTCTTCTTTTGTCTTAATAGGGTTCTTAGGAGGGTCAAGCGCTGGGCCGGGCGTGAAGGGTCAAAAAGTCTTTTCCTAAAGGGAAATCTGAATGCCATTACTTGACTTTTTAAAACCCTGTAAGTAACATCTGATTGCTCTCAAGGAAAAAACCCAACCCTTGAACGTGGCCTTATAAGGACTTCCATGGACTCTGCTCAATTCTCCATTTTCCCTAACAATCTAAGTAAACCTTTCCCCATCCACCTCGCGGTCTTTTGTAAAAGCTGTGTGCTTGGTCTAGAACGTTCTTCTGCATACACTACTACAGTGGCTACAGCCTACTTCATTCTAAGTATGAGACATTTTATCTGCATTATTAGTTTAATGTATCCCAGTTGCACAAATTCGGCAAAGAGAAGCATGTTACCTAGGGTAAGGTATCTATGGAGTGTAGGCAGCGCGTTTCAAACCCAGCTTCGTCTGAATTCAATGACATTTCCAATCACTGCTACTAAGCTATTAACTTCCTCGAGGAAATCTAACATTTTTAATATCCTCTAATAGCCATCGTGACATGGTCAGTACTGAAGACACTGGTTTATAATCGCTGATGTCCCTTATATGTCCCACACCAGAGGATAAATAAGGCATTAGAAAGTAGGTAACCTTTCTTTCTTTTTCTTTTTGAAAAATTTTTTTATAGTTTTTTGAGACACGGTCTTGCTATGTAGCTCAGGCTGGCTTTGAACTCTGTGGCAATCCTCCTGCCTCAGCCTCTCCAATGCTGGGATTACAAGCGTGCACCACCCCTCCCAACTGTAAGCTGTTAAGACTGCATCTTGCTCAGTTTTGCTTCTCCACCTCCTAGTACAATTCCTGGTACTTATCCTGGTCACTAATAAATATTGGTGGAATAATTAAATAAGCGGAAATGCTTTCAAACAGAATTTAATACAACGCTATTGTTCTTGAATTTAGCTAAGGAACATCATCGGGGTTACCAGATTTTGCTCTATAGGATCCACCTTTCCCTTTTTGCAGCATGGTGGTTTTGTTTATTTCCATTCTTCTGTGACTGTTTGCTAGAATTCCTAAATACCGTCAACACCACCTCTCATTCACCTTTCGTGAAAATCTAAGAGAAAAGCTAAACTGTTAAAATTCCCTTCCTTGCCGTTAAAATTCTTTAAAACCTGTAAAAAACAAATTAAATATAGTAGAGCAAAAACATCAGAGGTCGCCGGGGGAAAAATTATGTTTTAAAGATTAATTTCAAATCCAGACCTAGGCTGACTGGAGAAAAACAATCCAGTACATTTATAAGTGAAACTTCCCCGGGACGTCCAGGCAGTGCCGTCCCGGATGGCATCTGAGTTTTCATAAAAATTTCCTGAGGGCCTTTAGAAATATAAATAACAGAGGAAACAGGTGCAGCACCGAGCAGGGGGTTTGCCGATTGCAACATTCTCCTGGCCCACTTTTTGACAAAGAGCCCAGAAGCTACGGTAGTCAGTCCCGCAGTGCTCGGCACCTCGCAGGAGGGCGGTGGGGTGGGGGTGAAAAGGGACGCGGCAGAGGCAGCGCGATGCAAAATTAAACCAGTCCTCGCGGGGCGAGGGCGCGGACCGCTCCCGGGCGCAGCCTCCCAACGGCCAGCCACTGTCAATTGTGTCTTATCAAGGATGACACCTGGCTAGATCGGTAGGGAAACACACAGAACGGGGAGGCACCCGCTCTCGCGAGGACGTCACGCCGCCCGTCCCGAGGCCGCCCGCGCGCGGATGCCCCCGGGGGCCCGGCGCCCGGCCAGGCTTCCCCCAGCGCGCCGGCTACCCACAAGGCACCGCGCCGCGGCGCGCACGCGCAACGGCGACGGCCGTCTCAGGAAGAGGAAAATGGAATAAACAACTCGCAGGAACCAGGGCGCGAGAGAGCGAGTGGAGGCACAATTTAAAAATCAACCGCCCCCTCCGCCCTCTCCAGCCGTTCGCCGCCGCCGCCGCCCCCTCGCCCCTAGCCCGCGCCCTCGAAGCGCCCGTCCGGGCCCGCGCGCCCACCCCGGCGTCCCGCGCGGCCCCTTTAAGAGGACAGAGCGAGAGTGAGTGAGAATCCCAACTCCCGCGTCCTGCCCCCTCCTCCCGCCCTCCCCGCCCCCTCCGCCCTCTCCAGCCGTTCGCCGCCGCCGCCGCCCCCTCGCCCCTAGCCCGCGCCCTCGAAGCGCCCGTCCGGGCCCGCGCGCCCACCCCGGCGTCCCGCGCGGCCCCTTTAAGAGGACAGAGCGAGAGTGAGTGAGAATCCCAACTCCCGCGTCCTGCCCCCTCCTCCCGCCCTCCCCGCCCCCTCTCCCCGGGCGGCTCCGCTCCCGCAGCGGGACGGGCCCTCCCGCCCAGCTTTTATCTGCTCCGGCGGCGTCTGCCTTCCCTCCCCCGTCTATGGTGGCGGCGGCGGGCGCAGCTGCGGCGTTGCCATGAACAGCGGCGGCGGCCTCCCGCCCCCCTCGGCCGCCGCCTCCTCTCCCTCCTCGCTGGCGGCGGCGGCGGCGGCCCCGCCGGGGGTCGGGGGTGTCCCCGGCGGGGCGGCGGCCGGCGTGAAGCTCAAGTACTGCCGCTACTACGCCAAGGACAAGACGTGCTTCTACGGGGAGGAGTGTCAGTTCCTGCATGAGGACCCGGCCGCCGGGGCCGCCCCGGGCCTCGGCCTCCATAGCAACAGCGTCCCTCTGGCCC